CCTATAAAACTATTATAGGATTTCTAATACTATTATCCTTTTATTAGGACTACTATACTACCCCTATTCTAATAAAGGAATAATATTTTTATAAAAAAGTATAAAAAGTCCTACGAATACTATACGGTTTTTAAAAGTCCGTACGTGCTATAATAATTAAGGTTTAAGAAAAATAAACGATTTAAATAAATAAGTATAAGCGAGACTCCGATTTTAGGGTAAAAGATAGAATATTTATTATTAAAAAATTATAATTAATCAATAAACCTAGCGATAAATTCGATTTCCTCCTTATATGTATTTCTTACCCGATTAAAGTAATAAAGGGATATTCGTATAAATTCGAATTCCCTCCTACTTAGTGCGGGGCAAGAGTTTATTATATTAATTATCTTCGGAAATGCCCGAATAACCCGTTCGCCGGCTAAATAAATAAAAACTTCCCCGGAGAATTCGTTGGAGATTAAAAAGAGTAGGAAGTAAAAGGTATTATAATTGTTCGGTTAATTAATAGGAAGTTATACTACTAAACCGATTAGAAAGGATAAGATTTTAACCCTATTTAGTATCCGGCCGGGGATTTTAAAAACTCCCTTAATTTATTTAAGGCTTTTTATAATACCAACCCGGATAAGCCCGGTCTACTAAAGCACCTCCGGATTTAGAAAGGCGCCTAAATAAAGGATTTAGTATTAGAGGATTATAATAATAATAACCTGCTAGAAGAAGGTATTACTCGATATAAACCGTTAAAAAGGTCTAATTGCTTATGTAAATAAGGAAGGTCTATAGGTTAATTTATAAATAATTATAATAAAAAGTTCCTTTAATAAAAAAGTAATTCGAAGAATTGGTTTAATAGTATAGCGGCGGGATTGAGGGCCCCTAAATTGTATTATAGGCTACCCCGAAGGTATCCCTCCTCTACTTGGAAAGCGATTGTAAGACTATAGGTTCGAATTACGCTTGGATTATTTCTTTTTTTCGTTTTTTTTTCTTACTATTAAGATTTTGAGGGCAGAATCTTCTTTAAGGGGGGGGGGTGATGTTATGGCCCAGTCGGATGGGTTATGCCCTGCACTGGAGGACATCGCGCGGATACGATTGATATAATTGGTTATAGATTAGATAAGGAAGAGTGGGCCGCAATAGACCTGGCTCTGGGAGCATATCTCCCATCGCCAGCTGCGCGCACAACTCTTACCTTTTGTTTTACTCTTTAGTCGTAAATTCTATGTTGAACGTCAACAACGCTGCAGCCCTGCCTCGTTCGTTACGTGCTCTCACAAGTATAGAGAAGGCTTATATTAGGAGTTGTATTGGTTGTAGTTATTTTTAGCGGGTTGCTAGGCGGATTGTTAATTATTGTACTAATTTATTATTGATATTAATATATTATTAATCAAGACCTCAAATCTATAGTAGAGCCTTAATACTAAAAAAGAATTACGACCCCTCTCTTATATAGCGGTATAATCTATAGTAGTAGTTTAAAGAATCTTAGTAACCTTTGTGGTATTCTAGTAGATTAACTTTCATTTGGATTAGGTGGTTTTAGTTAGTTCCACATACTAAAATTTAGGTACGAGCTCCAACCCCTGACAACTGGCACTCCACACACAAGTTACTTTCAGGAAAAAGAGGTTACGTTTTTCAGGTTACGGTCACGCGTGCCGATCAGGCCCCAAGGGTGGTGAGTGCGGCTCCTAGGCGTGCCAAGGCTATACTGAGGAGAGGGTGGAAGAGAGCCTTGGCGCCCAGAGTCAGAAGCTCGCCCACCACCCTTTTGGGCCCTTGAGTAATACACGTAACCAATGTTTTTGTGTTTGGAGTGCTGTCACCGCCAAACTTGCCCCCCGGTTTTTTTTGGCTCTCGGGATTTTGTAGCCTTGCTCCAAATGCAAAGAGTTGTAGTGGTTCGATCTGGCAGCCTTGAATTCCTTCCTGGTACAACTCCTTTCAACATCGCGCCCCGCGCTCTCGCACTCCGCCTCTCGTCACCCGCAACAAACTTCCACCCACTGCAGACACGGTTTCCCGCATAACTCGGTCTCAAGTGGCGGCGGAAACGAACTACGAAAAACCAACCCGACCACCCTGTGTCTGCCTGGCTGTTTTGGCCGTGGTAGGCGAATCGAGCAAAATGGCCACTCCCAGTTTGCTCAGAAGTAACAGTGCGCTACCTTTTCTGTAACAATCCTGGCCCCCTAACAAACCTGCCCTGTTGCCAACCAACCTGCCCCCCGTCGGCCATTGTCCAGGCGAGGCAGTTGCCTGCCCTTCACCCGAAGTTGCCCGCGCGAATGCCATCTGCCCAAGACCCACTCTCCGGGGCACATGTCACCACGACCGTGACCGCAGACGGGTTACTACTTTGAGTTTCCACTCACTGGGTGGTCTATGTTATTGCCATCTCCGTCGCATCGTCCACCAGGGAATTCAAGTCGGTCGTTACCTCCCTCCAGCTTGCTGACATGAAGGATTCGATATCTGCAGAGAAAGCTGCCGCCGAATGCGTCTCGGACGATGCGCTTATCCACCTCAAGACGTACAAATATTCGGCCGTCGACAAGTCGCCCGTCTCCAATTACATTCTTAAGCCCTACGTATGTTTGCCCCAACACGAGCGCCTCCCTCCGTCTCGACAGGCCTGTGAACATTGCAAAAGACATCAAATGCTAAGATTGAGGCGGTAGTGGAATGCCTTCGTCGAGTTCCTGCCACTATGGGTTGCCCCCAACATGGTAACCCTGATTGGGTTCTCCTTTATTGTGGCTAATGTCGGCCTCTTATTGATATTCATGCCAGATCTGGTTGGCCCGGTAAGACCCTCGAAACTACCCAAGGCATCGAGAGCAGTTTCGTTGCTAACCGATGACATGATTTTACCGGGTAGGGTCCTTCATGGCTATACTTCAGTTTCGCTTTCGGCCTCTTCGCGTACCAGACCATGGACAATGTCGACGGCAAACAGGCGAGACGCACCGGAACCTCTAGCGGCCTCGGAGAGCTCTTCGACCATGGCATCGACAGTCTCAACTGCACACTCGCTAGCTTGCTCGAAACTGCCGCCATGGGCCTGGGCACTACCAAGGCCGGTGTCTTCACTGCGCTATGTCCCTGCCTGCCCATGTGGTTCTCGACCTGGGAAACATATCACACCCACACCCTCTACCTTGGATACATCAACGGACCTACAGAAGGAATCCTGATCGCCTGCTTGCTGATGGCGATCAGCGGGTGGTATGGCCCTGAAATCTGGTCCGAAAGACTAGCCGATAACCTCCACCTGTTCAGCTTCCTCGGGTTGAACGAAGAGAACCTGGGCGACACCTCCTTTCAGGACATTTGGGTCTACTTCCTCATTGGCGCCATGTTCTTCCACATTCCGTTTTGCATCATCAACGTAGTCAATGCCCGCCTGTCGCGCAACGAGCCTCTTCTTCCGGTCTTCCTCGAGTGGACCCCTATAGTCGTTTTCACGCTCAGCGTTGGCACTTGGCTCTATAGCCCATACTCGACATTGATGGATGAGAACCACCTGGTGCTTTTCTGTGTTACCATGAGCTTCGTCTTTGGCCGCATGACCACCAAGATGATTCTCGCTCATCTCACTAAGCAGTCCTTCCCCTACTGGACCGTCATGCTCTGGCCTTTGATCGGAGGTGCCTTGATCGGAAACCTCCCTCGTTTCGGGCTTCCTGCTGTCACAGCGCAATTCGAGCACCTTTACCTGTGGGCTTACCTGGCGTTTGCCTTCGTCGTCTACTCTCGCTGGGCTTGGTTGGTCACCACGAGCATTTGCGACTTCCTTGGCATCAACTGCCTTACCATCCCCCTCGAGAAGCAGATGGCCAACAAACAGATCGCCAGGGAGATCGCGGCGCAGGCTGCTGCCGCCGTCCCCGTGGGCCCAGCGAAGAAGGATTAAGTATAGCGCGTAAGCACAAAAGCAACGCAAAGACCCGAAAGTTCTTTTCTTGCACCTATTTTGAATCTGGCTTGGATAGAAGCTTAGAGATACTAGAATCGAATTACACCATAGAGCGGCCAAAAAGGCTAGACTGGCGTGTGCAGCGTTACCTTTTGCATATAGAGCTCGGAATGCATCGGTATCACGACATATATATCAGATACCCTCAAGGTTATGGGTTTAATGTCAGGAAAGATCAAGAAAAACGAAAACAGGAACCAGTGCGTGGAAACATCGGGATCAAGGGCAACACATTTTGGAAAAGCAGTGGACAGGACAGTTTTCTTTGGTTGGGTTTGTCAGTGTGGATGTACCAAATAATCGGGATAGATTCATGAAGGATGAGGGATGAGTATGACAGAGTCGAGATGGCTCATTAATGAAGTTGGTCAACACATGAAAGAAGGGCTTCCACTAAATATACAATGGCTGGCAGAACCTATCAGGCTGTGGGCTAATAGTCAATACAGCGACACTCCCTTGGGCGCTTCGATGTCGCTTTCGTTGATTCGATTCTACGTTTGGAGACGTCAGAAGTTGAAGTAGGAGTTCATAAGCCGCACTAACAGAACGTGGTCCCTCAGTTCCATGATCTGGATGGTACCAACTGAACGAGATGTTTGGATTCTGCGATCTGGCCCCTTTCCCCGCACATCACTTCTAGGGGCTGTTAGTGTAGAGCACACCCGGACCAGGAATTAGACCACCCCTGTCCGTCGAGAACACCTTTCTTCGGCGCGTCTGAAATCTCATTTCTATGCCAGGAAAGACCTCACTTGATTCAGTAGGATGAAGTTGTGGAAGTTAGACCATTGTACCATCCGGATAGTTTGCCGGTGTTTGAGTTCTTGCATTTGAGTTTCCGGGGGGATTTAGAGATAAACATTGGCCTGCAGAATTAATACCAACCATGGACTACTAGACAACCTGTCACCCGGCCAACCAAACAAACTCGCAAGACAACTTGTTTCGTCAACAGCACCACAACCGTAACTCAAGTTGCAACGCGTCCGGAACGACTAGGGAAATGGTGACGATGGCACGGCACATTGGGCTTGACCCGAACAACCACCAGTGGCACCGCTCTTCAACCTCACTCTCACGCCATCTCCTCTCCGCCCTCCTTCTCACAACCACCATCACCACGGGTGTACACGCCTACACCCCTCTTTCCACCTGCACCCTCCAACACCTCCCCTCCGGGCCCTCCTCCGACTTCGACATCCACAATGGCTTCGGGTCTAGCTCTCTCCTCGCCCCCATCCTAATCCCACGCGTCCCCGGCACCGAAGGCTCTCGCCTCGTCCAACAGCACTTTGTCGATTTCTTTTCTTCCCAACTACCCGACTGGACGCTCGAGTGGCAGAATTCAACCTCCACGACGCCCGCAACAGGGTCCCAGCTCATCCCGTTTGCGAACTTGATTCTACGAAGGGACCCACCTTGGGCAAAGGCCGGGAATGTGAAGAGGTTGACGCTCGCGGCGCATTATGATAGTTTGTTTAGACCGGAGGGGTTTATCGGGGCTGTGGATAGCGCGGCGCCTTGTGCTATTTTGATGGCGGTGGCGAGGGCGGTGGATGGGGCGTTGGGGAGACGGTGGGAAGGGGTTATGGCCGCGAAGGAGAAGAGGGAGGCAGGTGGGGAGCGGGATGCTGGTGATGGGTTGGAGGATGAGGAAGGCGGGGAGGAGGAGGAGGAGGAGAAGGGAGTGCAGATTGTGCTGTTCGATGGCGAGGAAGCTTGGGAGAGGTGGACGAATACGGATTCGACTTATGGCTCTAGGTATGTGGTTACTACTACTGTAGTGGGATGGATGTCGTCCTCTGCTGTGTTGATGATGGAATCATTGGAATCCGTACTAATGAACACATTATTTTTCCCGGCAGAGCACTGGCCGAAGCGTGGCAATCATCTCCATACGAGGCCTCATCAACCCACTCCAACCAGCTAGAGTCCATCAGCCTGCTCGTGCTCCTGGATCTCCTGGGAGCGGGCAACCCCCGGATTCCGTCCTACTTCTGGGACACGCACGGGGCGTACAGAGACTTGGCCAAGATCGAGACCAGGCTACGAAAGCTGGGGGGGTTGGAAACCGCACCCGCTTCGCCATTCTTACCGGATAGCGAGAAGCCGTATAACCGGTTTACGAGGGGGTATATACAGGATGATCATGTTCCGTTCATGGAACGTGGTGTCAAGGTGTTGCATATCATACCCACGCCGTTCCCGCCCGTGTGGCATACTATGGATGATGATGGGGAACATCTTGATCTGCCGACTGTGAGGGATTGGGCTAAGATCATGACGGCGTTTGTTGCTGAGTGGATGGATCTCGATGGGGTGCTTTCGCAGGAAAGCTGCGCTGCGCAGAAGAATAAAGACAGGGGGAGCATGGAGAAAGACGAGCTCTAGTGATACGGGAGGGCTAGTTAGGTCTGGCTAGAATCTCTACAATTATACGCTGAATTTTCATGGACAAAAAATAATTACCGTGAAAACATACACCGTAACAGTGACTGTATCGACGAGTTTTGAAGTTGAGAAGAAAGTATGATCATATCGAATGTGTAAGTGATGGGAGTATTTGAGCGGACCCCGGGCGTGAATCAAGTAATTACCCTCCACGTAATTGTCTTGGCGGGTGCGGTACGTCCTTTCCCTATGCATGGATGGGAGCTCTGGCCGTCTGGAAGCTGAACGTGTTCATTGAATGCACCAAAGTTTCACCACTGGCGCATCTACGAATTTACGAATCGATTGCGCTTCTCCCTCGAAACTGTGTTCTGTTTCGACAAAAGAACTCCTAGCAAACATCAAGAAATATGCGATTAACTCAGGCAATCTTGCTGCTTGCGGCGGGCGCTGCACAGGCAGCATCGTCTTGGAGCTTCGACGACGCCAGTATCTCGGTTGCTGCCAAGAAAGGCAGTGATGCTATCAAGGAGAAGTAGGTTCGCGCCCGAAGACCATGGGATTATATGCCCCTCCCACAGACCTCAATTACTAACACCCGTTTGCGCAGGTTCAGTCAAAAGACCCCTCTTACGAAACCCGTTGGACTTGGAAGCACCGATACTGTCAAGATCATCTTGACTGCGAAGGAAGATGGCAAGGCGAAGCGGCCTCACCAGGCCTTTGTGACCATCAAAGAACAGGAAACTGGCCTTGAGGCCCCTTTTCCTTTGACAGTTAAGGATACCGGCAAGGCGGTGGTACAGATTGTGAGTTACTCCACGAAAGGCAACGTCGGATCGTTGAGAGCTTGGAATTAACAGTTCGGCGCAATACAGTCCCAGAAGGATCTCCCCGTTCAATTTCTCTTGTCGCCCAAGCCACTCAAGGCCTCCGTGGTCATCGGTTCGTTCGGTGAAGCTCGCGCTGTCAACACCCCCGTCTTTGATATCGAAATCCAGACGGATCCCAACACCCCGCTGCCCAAGTATGAAGCGCCTATCCGCTACGGCAAGAAGCCTGAGATTCACCACATATTCCGCCCTGATCCGCAAAGCCCGCCCAAGGTGATCTCGCTATTCTTCGCCCTTGCTGTGGCTGCTACAGTTCCGGCTCTTTTCATCAGCGTGAGTTGTTATGTTCATTATCCACCTGTCAACACGTGCAGTGTTCTTGCTGGTGCTAACAATATTTTTTTTTCCTTCGGCAGTGGCTTTTGCTCGGCGCCAACCTCAACCACCTGACCAAGGCTCTCGGCGCCGCGCCCTTGTCGCATATTACCTTCTTTGGCTCCATCGTGGCCATGGAGGGTGTGTTTTTCATGTATTATACCAGCTGGAACCTGTTTCAGATCCTTCCTGTTGCTGGCGTGGTGGGCATCGTCACCGTGCTGAGCGGCACTAAGGCTCTTGGAGAGGTCCAGAGCAGACGTCTTGCGGGGGAACGCTAAGCAGCAAAGATGCACATTTGGAGATCGATGCACGAATACTTCCATAATTAGGCGTCTGCAAGCGGTCAATGTGCGACTGACTTGTGTTGCACGCTAAGAATGGCTGGGGATGCTCAAGATTATCACCCATATATACCACAGCGTGACTGATTTGATAGGCAAAACTAGAAATGCAGACCATGTACCAAGAACGGGTCAAAATTCCAAGTTGCCTAGGGTGGTGGCGGCTTGATTGTCTCTGTGAGGTCTGATGATGCCGCACATCGGCCATCCCACGACTGCTTCAAAGGAAGTAAGGGAGCATCAATGGGCCAAAATTGCTTTTTATCTAGGAAATTTACCATGGTCAAGAACCGCGGGATTGTCACAAAGTGAGGTGGCTGGCAACGATCGCAATTTGAACCTCGTCTCTTTGGTTGCTTCGGTCACCTCAAACGGGAACGAGGTGAGACGTGGATGGACCTGAATGCTGTGCGGGTTATGCCGATGGTTCCTTGCTGCCGTGCTTGGTGCCCGATAGGCGGGCGGAAACGAAAATGCAAGAGAGATGGTGTCTCCAATGCTCTGACTTCTTCAATTTTGGTGGTTTTTGCCTTCATTTAATACAAAATACTTCAATGTGCGAACTGCATTCACGATGTAGAATCGTCATGTGTTTGGGGAAGGCGGCAGAGGTTTCCTTTGGCATCAAAGAGGAGCTGCAAGTGGTACATACCCAGCAGATAGACGTTAGGCGATCCATCCAGTCAATGATAGGGGAAGCGCTAACAGCGGTACACTAGTGTTGAGGGCAGTGAACGGAGCAGGTTCCGAGTTGGGTGTCCACCACAAGGAACACGCCGACCGTGGCTGCCCCACCTTCAAGTTCCCTTATAGTGGATGTAAACAAATGCAGCAGCAAATGGACAAATGAGAGCTCCGGTTTCCATCAGATCGCGTTTTCTCCAAATTCCCAGCCTGCCACTTCCACTTGCACCCACACATCCCGTTTTCTTTCCACCGAGTCGCATCCAAACCCGCTTGGCCCTGTCCCCTGCCGGGTGTAACAGCATTGTCGTTGGGCTCTTTGGGAACTCGCAACTTCAATCAATCGCGCCGCATCTCGATCTCGCTCCCCGATTCAGCATGCGCACAGTATATCGGTTTTCAGCTGAATTATCAAGCGCTCGTTCCTGATCGCTGTGCTTCCTTTTCGACTCGACCATTCCCACGGATACCCCTTCCATTGCGGCTACTTGCGACCCGCTGAAAAGAAAGCGCAACGCGCTCGAGCGGCGAAAGTCTTGCCGGTGTGTTGTCGCTGCTTGCGCCTGCCCTGATTCCGGGTTGGCTAAGAGAGGGATCCGTCCACCGACCGTGACTGGACGCTGGCCAACACCACGCTCGACGCGCCCCTCCGACCTCGGTTCCCAACTTGCTATGGACATCAACAGAAATACCAAATCCCACAATAGCAAACCGAAGCATATCTCTAGGTTAAAACGCGAGATGTACCAACTACGGCTCAAAAACAACCCTTTCGGCTCCCCGCCCTCATCCACCGGCGACCATGACACGGTTAGCACCACCACCGAGGACCTCTCACGTAACCTGTCCGCCTTCTCCTTTAATCCCGACGACGAGGGCACTCGCAAGGCCAGCGAGGACTACAGGCTCCCTACCAAGCGACACGCTACTCGCTCCGGCCGTTTCGGCTCACGGCAGCAACAAGAACAGCAACAGGCCACCATGCTAAACACCTCGGCCATCGGCCGCGCCTTTCCTGAATGGACCGGCCCAATTAACGACACGGCCCCAACAACACAGAACTTCGACACCAATATGGGCTACAATCCATATCCCGAAGTTAAGAACCGCAAAGAGAACGTCCGCCCCATCACCGAGCTAACGGAGGAGCACCTCCTCAACTACGGGTTGGATCCTAAAAAGAAGACCCGTGTGGAGATGCAACCTCGAGTTGAGAACGAGTCCGACTGCTCAACCATTCTGTCCAGATCGCCTGGCCGGGGCGCTCGTCGCTCTCGTTTCAGCAACGCCAACATGGAAAACAGAGCCGCTTCACCAGAAGTCCCCAAGCGCTCTCTCCAGGATATCGTTTCCAAGATTCGTACCGAGAAGGAAGCCAACAAAAACCAGTTAGCCCAAAGCGCGCTACCACCGAAACAATCTCGGCCTATACATGCCAGTCTCAACGCCTTCCTGAACTCGGACCTTGCTGCGGATCAGACTAATGTGGGCCCTACTGAAGGTCGATCTTTCTTTCTTCCGGCTTTCAGACATCTGCCCGACTGGACATCAGGCGCCCTCAGATTTGATGCCATGAAGGATGGTGTCCCTGTTTTCGTCAAGTCTGGTAAGAACGGCGTACGGCTCGGTCAGTCCGGCGACCACGAATCTATCAATGCTGTCGGCATTCCTGAGGAGGATGAGCAAATCTTTGTCTCCATGGATAAGCTCCAGGAGGAGGTTCGCGAGCTCCATGATCATGACGCCATGCTCCAGCGCGAAGCGGAGAAGCTTCAGCGAGAAGTCAATCAGCTCCAGTCTGAGCTTAAGCGTTACAAGACTAGGAGACCATCAGACAGTGCCATAGGATCAGACTCCGATGGTTCTTTTGGCAGACATGCTCAGGCGAATGGATACCAACTTGAGACTCAGATTGCTCAGCTACAGAATCGTCTCGATCAGGCCAGCAGGCAGGTTGGAGTACAAGACATCCACAGCACAGCACTCGCGGCGGAACGTGACGAAGCCTTGCATCAGGCGTCACTTGCTCGCGAAAGAGCGAAGCGACTACAGGTTGAGCTTGAGTCTACGCAAAAAGATCTCGAGTTCACCCTTCAGTACCGCAAAGACAAGGACGCCCTACAAAATGAGAACATCACTCTGCGCACTATCAATGAGGAGCTTAAATTGAAGAACGAAGCTCTCTCGCAAGCGAACCAAGAACTTTCCAACAAGTACGACAAACTCCGACGGGAGCACCTATCGGCACAAAAGGACCTGGCTTCCACCCAAGAGGAGCTTACTTCTTTGCGCAAGAAGTATGATGCTATTTTGGAGGAGAAGAAGCTTATCGTTCAGGACCATGCGAGCATGGAACGTAACAATGAGAGCTACTTCAAGGAGACCAAGAAGCTTCAGGCGCAAATTGCCGCCAGGGATCAACATATCGCCGATCTTAAGAGAGGAATCAACACTCGGGACCAGATGATTGACAACATCGGGGGATTGACAACAAACACTGCAATCATTGAACTCAATGCTGAGCTGGAGGCCGAAATCGAACGTTTGAAGCAGAAGCTGCAAAATCAAGCGACCAGGACTGATGATAGAGATGGCTCAATCAGCGCAAAAGAAAGCGGGATTCGTGCGCTCAAAGAGCAGAATCTCGAGCTAGAATATCAGAAGCAGAAGCTCCTTGAAGAGAACCAGCGGCTTCGCGCCGAGTATGAGGAGCTGAAGGGCCAGTGGATCGATGATCGTCATAAGGTGGTTCGACTCAACCAACTCCTCACTAAGAACAACACTGAGTTCCTGAAGACCATGAACGACAATACCGAAGACTGCGTCCGCTTGGAGGAGGACTTCAAGAATAAGGAGGCATCTCTCCGTCAAAAGCTGGAGCGCCGGGAGGCAGCTATTAAGAAGGTCAAACAGTTGACAGCCCAGATCAACGAGATTTCACAAAGGGAACTTTTGGGCAAGCCTACAAAGGTCACTCGGATCATCGAGCCGAAAAATGGCACTAGCACTGGATATGCTGCGAACGATTTGACTGGCAAGAGCGGTACAATGAATGTTGACGACGACCCGACAAGGGAACTTAACCTGACCCAAGGGACCGATTTTGCCAGCGTCATGGATAACGAGATTGCGAGTTTGAGGCAAACTTACCGAGATCTCGAAGATCGGCTGCGACAAAGCGAAAATGATAATACCACACAACCGTCTCAAACAGGTGATGCTGTCCAGTCTAAGAACCAACCGGTCGGTATCCTTAAGAAGTCGAGTCGATTTGGGTTCGACGAAGATACTGGCCGTTTCAGCGTTGCCAGTCACCACAGTGAAGACGAGTCTGTAAAGACTGCAACTACCAGCAAGAGCCGCCGGCCTTCATCGATGGGTGTTCAGGGTCAGGAAACTCCGCGACCTGCATCTCGCGTGCGGCGAAACTCGGACAACCCCACCATCACCACGCAGACCGACAAACAGTCTAGCCTTGGCCATTCGATTCCCGCGCTAAGCAAGGAGGCTCGCCGGGTACTGGATCAAATCTGCGAGCACAAGTCAGATAACTGCAATGTCTGTGTTCGTATCGCGGCGAACGGACATCATGTTAGCCCGTCCACCAAGGCTCCAATTACTGTCGAGGATATGAGAAAGGGGAAGAAGACTGTTCGCGTGGACAGACCTGTCCCTGTCTCGGACCGCGCAGTCAAGGGCCATGGTAATTATGAGGAGGAGCCAACCATGCGTCCCGCCATGGCGCCAGGTGATGCGCTTGCGGTATTAATCAAGGAGATTAGCGATGAAATTGAGCATCTTCAGATGGAGCTGAAGCATATGAATGAGCTTTACTTCAGCCTGGACAAGTCTACCGGACAGCGCGAGCGTAGGCGGGTCATGGGAGAGATCAAGAAGCTGCAAGCCGAGCTTGAGACAAAGAGCGGGCAGCTGTACAAGCTGCATGATGTTCTTGAAGGACAGAAGAATGCCGGTCAGCTGATGGATGATTCTGAACTTGATATCACCATTTTGAGTGATCTGCTTCGCGTTAATGGCGCGACTGAGAACAATCGGGAAGCTTCATGGAATGGATTTGATGAGTAAACTCAGACGAGACGGTGGTACTGGTGATGATGAGTTTCGTCAGGGGCGTTAGCATTTTCTTCGGAGCACATTGCATGGGTCTGCTTTTATTTCTCGGCGTTGAGCAATTGGTTTGCTTTTCTCCGTCTTAATGTCGAGCAAGGCGAAGGGATTGTTACAAAAGCGTTTCCGCTTGTTTGCTATGGTATGGGATTTGGTCAGGTCTTTTTCTCATGAGGAATAATTTTGTTGTATGACTTTCCCCGTGGTCGTATCGGTCGCAACTCGGGAGCATGGTTCGAGTTATTTGATGTAGGGATTATAGGAAGGCTACAGGATTACGAATAGAATTGACAAATCCGTTTTGGGGTTTAAAAGAGGTTTGAGTCTTCCTGATGAACCGCAACGATTGCGTATACCTTTGTGTTGTCCGCGAACCATCCATCGACTCTGTTTCAGGAGCTTAGAAAGCAGGGGCATGGAAAGTTTGATGGGTTGTAGGTAGTCTGGTAGCCTTTCATTTTGAAGAGAGCATTAATCAATAGCGAAAACGGTCCCACCACAGTCCGTTGTTACTGGAGTCAAATTGTTGCATGTCGTACATGGCCAGCTTCACCAAAGTCATGCTCGCTGTTGTTTGTTTATGTTTATGTCCGTAGCCCCTTTCCTGATCATGATGAGCCAGGCGTCTAGAAGCTGCTACCGGGCCGATGCCAGCTGTCCACCTCTAAGCCTGCCTACCTGCAGCGACACACAGTTTGCTGCCACCGGCAGGGCCCGCGGCCTGAACTTCAGTTCCAGTTCACGACTTGAGGTACCTACGCCAGGCACGCGCATCCACCATTAGATCGAAACCACTTTACATTCAGCGTGCCAAACGAAACACTTCTCCCACCCACCAACATTAACTCCGACCATATACCTCAACTTTCAGCGCGCTTATTCCAAACGTACTACATCAAATTATCTACGACCACCTGCACTCAACAAACCCGAGAACGTAGAAGCTGCTAAAATGGGTGACGACATGGAAGTTGACAATGCGCCCCTCTCGCCTCAGCAGGAGGATGCTGCTGCCTCCGGCGGCGTCAACGCCAACTCCGCCAAGGTTGCGGCCATGCAAACCCACACCAAGGCGACTGCCGTGCGCTCCATCGAAGGCTGGATCGTCATGGTGACCAACGTACACGAGGAGGCCGACGAGGAAGCCATCCAGGACAAGTTTGGCGAGTTTGGCGAGATCAAGAATTTGCATCTTAACTTGGACAGGCGAAGCGGTTACGTCAAGGTTCGTTTGTGGCTGCGCTTTCATTTTCTATCACCTATTAGCGTAGGCTCTCGGAATAATAAAAAAAAAAGAGTCACTAATCATGTCCCTCCGTGATGCGCAAATAGGGCTACGCACTGATTGAGTATCCGACGCTTGAGGAGGCGCGCGCCGCCATCGACGGTGCCCACGAGACGAAGCTCCTCGACCAGACCATTCAGGTGGACTTTGCCTTTGTGCGACCACCCCCAGGCAAGACCGGCGGCGGCGGCGGCCGTGGTGGAGGTGGTGGTGGCGGCGGCGGACGCAACGGTCCTGGCAACCGCAATAGGGGTGGTCGGAGTAGGAGCCGCAGCCCCGTTGGCAGGGACGAGTGATGACGGGATAAAACATCTCGATGCGTCTTTGTCTTACGCGAAAAATGGGATGGGAGGAAGGAAATGCCTTTGAAGCCTGGGCATATGGCTGCTATATTCCCGCTAACTACAACATCAAGGAGTATCCAGCCAGCTGGAGTTTTCCAAGGGTGGGTGGAATCATACTGGAATAGCAAGGCTTGCTGCAGCGCTATCTTGGTCCTCAACCGAACGGACAATAGCCAAAATGGATGGGAATCGATGAGAACAGAGGATACAAGAGCATTGGAGAGAGAGTCGGGTTCAGGTAGAGACAACCTGTAAACCAAGAACTACGCTCAAGTAGCCGATGTGTCGTCAAAAGAAAGCAAAATCAAGGACACGTCGGCGCGTTGCCACGATCTTAACAGGTATGTTTGTAATTTCACCCCTTCTCACATGAGTCGTCACTAATTAAACTTTTTTTTCAGGACATCAAATTGGCCTTGTAAAACATTGCTGTGCAAAAGTGTTTGCTGTGATGATATCCAGCATGAAGAGAGTCGGGGCTTGCTTGGATGCATGCATCAACTCTTCATTGGGTTTCCACACAATGATGAGTCCGCAACACCAGGCAGCGGCACTCGAGTGAAAGACCGTCTGCGCCGCAGAAAGGCCCTCGGTAAGAAACTGTATAGGTTGATGGATTCCTACGTGTGGTCCGTGTTTGTCTAAACTTGTCGGTTGTATCGACACTCCTGGTGATCAACAGACAAACAATGAGCAAAAACTTGTCGACTTTGGGCCTCGCACCAGGGGTCATTGAACAAATATACAAAGGATTGCGTGGACGGCACAGGGGCTTACGTGACTTACACCGGCCGCACCTATCGCCTTGTCCATTGGCACAAGAGTCGCTTGTTGTCCGTCCCATTAAGATTATATTATGGTCATCATTCCTCAGCGCTAAGGTAATAAACCCACAATGCCGGGACTTGGTAAGGCTGTGACGAAAGCGCCGAGCAGGAACTCCTGTTGGGCGCGGTAAGACAGGAGACATCGTTCTTCTATGGATAATCAATCTCTTTGCGTCTTAAGTGAACGGTTTGCTGATCTCTTTCTTTGAGCGTCGGCTCGTTCCTAGTGGAATGTGTACCTGTTGAATTAGTTTTCGCTCAAGGTCATATTATAGCACCCGTCCCGTATAACTAGATGTGTTTTAATCAACGCTCTGGTTTCCTGAATGGCCCACCACAAAGCAGTAACATCAACATTCGCATCACCGGCAGGGACACCCATGCCGTAAGTATTAGGGCCATCACCGCCCGAGACTCGGGATCCAAAAACACAATCACGATCAGAGCCCAAATTTAATGCCTCTCGGACCAGATCAACCAGTACCAAGGCTAGCCTCTCACTCCCAGGGTCAGCCATTCGACAGGGCTATCTGGGCTCTCTTGTGCCTCCAACGAATACAGAATTCGATCATATAACTACGATCCAGGCTGAGCGTGGAGCCGAAACGCAAAGGAAGCAGCTCGAGCTCCGCCGGCGATGTCTCGAACAACAGGCCCAACTCCGCTCGAAATTTCTGCAGCCGCCACAGGATCATAACAACCCGTCTGCGCCTATATCATCTTGCCGCTCCGGAGCATTTTCCATCGCCGACCGCTTAGGACTTACACACCAAAGAGCCGACAGTAGTACTAGCGTTCGTACCAACGCTGCTGCTTTGGTCCAGCGAACCTATCGGGACTCCCGTGCCCATCGTCAGCTCAGAGGCCTGTCTGGGCTTGGACCCTTCTACGACATGGAAGCACGCAGTCCGTGAGGCTCAATGGCGCAAGCTGGTGAAGCCTCGCCCTCGAAGCAACCTTGAACGGTTGGATATTTGGAAAAGCAGACCGGGTGATGGGAGGTCTGGAGCAACATGCTCTTCCTCCGATAGCCGTTCATTGATAGCACGGCTGAACTGGAAGAAGAATGCAACCACTATTGCACGTCGTGCAGGTGTGGATATTGATGATGATGGTTACTCCAGCGACTCTTGCTCTTCCTCGTCTCGGCCATCATCATCACCATCGCCCGATACAGAATTCTATCAAGAAAAGAGGCAGAGAAAACAGAAAGCACACAAAACTTTGAACGAAGCCAAGGAGCGGCAAAAGGCTGCCTCAGGAATGATAAGGCTCCAGTACCTTCTCGAGATGGTGATTCTGAAACACCGATACGGCGCCAACGTGTATCATGAGGCCTGGAAACAATCCGACACGGATGAGAGCTTTTCTTCTGGCTTGATCGCGGCGAAAGTCGGGTGCATGATCTGAGGGCATGTTCCCGGGAGCAGCTAGAGCGTGAATGGATCCGGTATCTTTCTTGTGAGGAGCGACAGCACTACCTTGTCAAGGTTGCTCAAGGTTAATGACGAAGGGCTTCTATGCTGGGCCAAAAACAGGGAACGTATTGATACATGTCAAGAATGGAATGACTCGGTTCATGGTATTGTACCGATCGATGACCCTATTCCTACGTATGTGCCGGCCAACCCTTTGGGACATGAGACACATCTTCTCGACCATGGTAACATCGTGTCCGAGCTATCTGAGGGCGGTGTAGGTGATGGCGTTGAAGATGAGGCAGCGGATGAATATATATCTCCGTCTATAACGGAACAGGTACAGTAGTTGGGAGTTAGGAGTTGATGTAGACGATTGAGATATCTTAGTTTGACAAGAGATGACCGGAGTTTTTATATCATCTCTCCTCCTGAGTTGTCTCATCGAGTTATCCTGTAAGCTAGAACGCTGTCCGAGACACAAGGCCGCGCAAGCCAACAGATTTAGGGTCTACAGTTTTCTTGGTTGGTGTTTCATTGGGGATTTTCTCCGTCGAATCGGCATGCCTCCCGAGAACGTCGTCTGCCTTAGGTTCCGATATAAGAAGTACCCTCAGCAAGATGCAAGTGCTGAAGCCGCTACGGTCAATCATAACGAAACGACGGTGATTGATCGAAAGCTAGTCTTAACGCCGACATGGACTTGTGCCAGTATTCTACACAACCTCCATGCTGCCCCAATCCGCTATTTCCAAAAGGGGTACCCAAAAATTCATAAATCCATTTCTTCGGTCAACATGGTCAAGGGAGGATATTCGGACAAAGGAAAAAAGAATACCCCCCAAAAAAGATGAGTGGGTTGGAGACATTCTCAGTCAAATAAACCGTTCGTCTGTCCAAAGAGAAGTCCTACCATCCCTTATCCTTATAACTACCACCATTCACCACCTATTCTCACTCCCCTGCCTTGAGCCTTCAAGAAGGGAAATATACACAGGGCACTAGAAACACGACCAGTGACCTTCGAAAACAAGAAAAGAAAAGAGATAAAAAGAAAGAGAAAGCAAAAAATTGCGGTTTGTGTGGATCGAACACACGACCTTCAGATTTATGAGTGAAGTGGACTTCAGTCTGACGCTCTCCCAACTGAGCTAAACCCGCTATTATTTAATAACAGGTAAAGGGTTTGCTTATAGTATGATCAGCAAACGTGCGGCCGTTGAGTCTTCCAAAGAACTTTATATAGATCGAGTGAGACGACGCATATCAGTTTTGCCAATTTGATGTATCAAATGGCCGAAAAGAGTCTTCACTTTCGTGAGACTTAGGGTTAATAGAAGTCGTTTAATTGGACGAGAGCTATGAAAATCTGGGCATAAGACTGTTGGACGAGAATAACAGCCACCTAAACCGTCTATCGACCAGGTGCATACTAACAACCCTCCGTGCTGAATTGACTATTGAATGTATGATTGTGCTGCTCATTGCTAGTCACGAAAACCTGGTAATATGCTACGCCGCCGTCAGGTACAATGAAAAGGAATGAGCATGCAGTGCCCATGTTCGAGAAAAAATGCACAATGATACAGCGCCTTTCTAAAAATCAGACGCTTGGAGAGACACTTGGTCCCAATGGTTCGCTCCTTGATTGAATCCTTCGAGAATAAACAGGGCACTTTAGTCCTCCATAACTAGGAGCAGCTCCCCCGGATTGCCCAGTCTGAGAGCTAGTTTCCTCTTCGCCGGTCGCGGTTGTAATCTTTGCAAATCGTTCTGCACTGCACCCGGCTTTCGCGGGCGGCTGTATAGTCTGGAATAACTGATACGGCGCTGCGACCATCATAACCGGAGAAGGGAAGTGTTGTATCAGTTGGGCCGGAGCAATCCCAGCAGGACTGAGTGGCGACACGTTCTCGATGTACTCTCCGCTGTTGCAATTCAGCCTCATTGGACTTATAGTGACCCGCGGAGATGATGCAGCGACCGATCGAGGTGTGAAGGTTGGAGCAGCTGGGTTCAACTTCAAATGCTACATCGGAAGATGGTTAGAACCAGCCAAGCATGTATCAAGCTTAAAGTAAGGATAATACATGATTGGTCGATCTATACCTCTTTCTGATGGCTTGGAGTGTTCTTTGTCTCGGTTGCCGGAGATTGCTGCTGGTTAGCAGGTCTAATCTTTAGCGCCGTAGAGCTTTCGACTTTCACCAATTCCAACTTGGTTTTGTCAGGGGTTAAGTCATTGACAATGCCTGAGGTCTTCTTTACTGACGTTGGCTTGACCTCAGTAGCGTCTTTCACTTTCGGCTTGATGAAGATCTGCTTGGACCAAAGCTCGGCATACTTCCCATTTGCTCGGATCAGGTCTTCGTGGCTTCCCTCCTCCACGATTTCTCCGCCGGTAACGACCATGATCTTGTCGGCGTTCATAATAGTGGATAGTCGATGCCTAAATCTCTGTTAGTATGGCACACAACGGTGGTGGTTTTATCAAAACATACGCAACAATGAACGTCGTGCGTCCCTTGCATAGTTTACCGAGTGCTTCCTGAATCTTTTGCTCTGTCTCGGTATCGACTGCAGACGTGGCTTCATCAAGCAATACGATAGCAGGCCTCTTGAGGATGGCACGCGCGATAGCCACCCGTTGCAACTCGCCGCCGGAGAGTTTGACACCACGCTCGCCGACACGGGTCTGATAGCCTTTGACACCATTAGCTTTAAGAATCCAACTTCGCAGACCAGATTATCTTCTCACCGTCTGTGAAGGTCAGGATTTGCTCGTGGATACTGGCTGCCTTGCAAGCTTCGTGAACCTCTTCGTCAGTGGCTGAAAGCTTTGCGTAGCGAACATTGTTCATGATTGTGTCATCAAATAGAATAGGATTCTGCGGCACGACACCGATTCGGGCTCGCAAGCTACACGTTGGTATTAGCTCCTCGGCCCATTAGATATCCTCTATGGATACTTACCTAAACAGATTAACGTCCCGAATATCTTGCCCATCAATGTTGATTGAGCCACCGGTTACATCATAGAAGCGGTCGAGAAGCTTGAGCATTGTTGATTTTCCTGCTCCTGTAGCCCCGACGAAAGCCACACTTGTTCCAGGATCTACCTCAAAGTTGACGCTCTTCAATATCGGTTTTTTCTTGTCGTAGGAAAAGGATACGTTCTCGAATTGAACATGTCCTCCTTGAAAGTCGAGTGGCGGTGCCCCTTCTCTGCTGAGGACAGTCGGCTTCATTTGCATGATGTCCAATAGGGACTCAGCGCGAATTAGATCACCCGAAATGCTCTTCCCAAGCGAAGCAAAGAAGGTAAGCGGGGAAACCAACTGAGACCAGTAGGTCAACAACATCACGAACTGGCCTGGAGTCGCTTGCCCTTGTGTAATCTGGCTTACAGCAAGGAAAGCCCCAGCTAGAAGACCGCAAAGTAAAACCATCGACTGGAACGCATAAGCCAGATAGTATCCCAGAAGGACTTTCCGATAATGCCCCACGTTGTTGTTAACAGCGTCGGAATAGCGGGTTTCCTCATGGCTGATCTGATTGAAAGAGCTGACAGTTGACCAGCCCTGAATCCCGGCATGACGGACGTAATGTTCCTCAAAGTAAGCGCTCACTTGACTCCTTCGAACCTCCTTTAGTCCTGACAGCATGATCGCCGTGATATAACAGAAGACGGTTGCGGTCGCAATGGTGATGAAACCCTCGTAAGGGCCGAATGTGACCGAGAGGTAGATAAAGGCAACTCCCATGTCAATGAGCATGGGAATAGCTTGAAAACAAATAGACTCAAGCATATTTGATATGCTGGTACCCGACATGATCGCCATCTCTATATCTGAACAGCTCTTGGAGTCGTGAAAATCGGATGATAAGTTGAGAACATGCGAATATGCAGCCGTGGAGATGCGAGACGTGGAGTAGCTCTCAACTGGAATCCATAACCACTGGCGTAACAGCGAAATGCCAGCTTCGGAGGCAGTAAGTTTGAGGCCTGCAAAAATGAGAACCTGTGTCCACGGATCCTTGTGATTGACTCCCCCAAGACTGTCCATGACAATTCCTATTTGTCGTGGAATCAGCACATGGATAAAGTTCATGGCCATCAAGCAGCAGCCAACGAGAAAGACTCGAAGCTGGAGCCCTCGGTTGCCGACGGGCCAGACATACGGAAAGAAAATCTAAACGAATCATCAGCATTATGAGCATGTGGCTTTAAGCGAAATCCTCGAAAACGAACCATGAAGCTCTTGGCGTAGGTTACCCAGTTTCCTTTCTCTTTCAAGCGTTTCTCCATCAGCTCGGCTGCCTGTCGCTGTCGTCGTTCGTAAGGGGATTCGACGCGATCATTCGGAGGGGATGAGCTTTCGTCGGTTGAATTTGTCGAGGTAGATCCATAGTCATTAGTAGAGTTGTCACCGTCCTGATTAGCGAATACCTCGGTGGTCGAACTGCTATTTGATGCCTTCAGCAACCCTTGTCTC